GGGAAAGATACTGTCAACAAATCAGACGGCTTAAGACGGCAACTGTGAAGAACAACATGGAAAAGTCTAAATTTGAGTTTGGGTTAAATTGTCTCAATCTATTTTCCTACTACTAAGTTTGACATTTTGCATGCAGGCTTTCTTAATATGCTTTAGTAAACACCAAATGCCTTTTGAACCTCAGTATAAGTACTAATACTACATAGTGGGTATTGACAGACTTGGAAGGGAAAAAAAAGTGCTTTACCAGAAGAGGCAGTGCATTGGTTCAATTTGGCAGCATCTGTACAGATTGCAAAAAGGCCTCACTGAAGTGCGCACTCTTATCTAATATCTGATTGAGTCACCTATTAGTTAAGTGTCAGAAAAGCCCTGCTGAAGTGGTGGATCTATACAGGCATTGGCCGAGCTGGGTCCAACTAATGTGGTGCCTCTCCTGGGCATGCACTGGGCTCAGTGTGGGGGCGTGCCAAATTTTAAAGTGCTGTTTTTGTCTTTTGTATGTCTGTATCTGTAAGAAGTCAGCGTGCATGTCATCTCTAACATCTGACAACTGCAGCAACAAGAATTTAATAGTCTCACATTTCTGCATCTGAAGTACAAGAAAAGGGAAAAATACCAGATGAACCCCCAAAGACTTTGTGCTAAGGCTTGAGTTCAGGGTTGTTCCTATTAACCACTGACTTAATTATCAGATAAAGCAGCAAGAACCTGCATTTCTTGGAACTCCAGTTTGGTACTGGAGATGACCACTTCAGTAGGTAGAGAAGGAACTTGAAACTTTGAATTTGTGGCAACAAATGAGTGCAGGCTTCTAAGTAACTTAAGACCAATTGTGCAGTCTTCAATCTGTAAATTGGCCCTCTCACTCCCATAGTTAGTAGCACTCTTTGATGGAACTTGGGTTATTTTCTTTGTGCTGGAGGCTGCCTTCAAAGTTTCACTGCTATGTGAAGTGGAAGAAGCATGCAGGTGAGCAAGTTTTGCCCAGGCAGAGGACCAATCATAAGCTGTTCCTTGTGCTCTTTTATGTTTGAAAAATTTCAAATAAAAGCAGATCATAAGGATTTTGCCTCAGGCAGGCAGTAGCAGGCAAATCCCAAAAATGTCCTTACTGAAGTAGTATGTGTGTGTAGCGATAGAAAAAGGATAGGCCCTGCTAAGCATAGAGAAAGAACTGGAGCCAGTGGGGTAACTGTATTTTGCTGTATGATGACAAGAGGAAGAAAATGAAAAGGGAGAGTAGGAGGCCCTTCCTAGAAAGGAAGAAAACATGTTACAAGAAACATTTGTGTATATATACTCTTCCCTGGAGAAATGGGCAAACAAGCTTCATGAAGAGGTAAACTTGATTTGAGGGGAAATGGCTTTTCCTGTCCTGTTTCCTAAGCACAAATATAATGTAGAAGACTATTATAAAACTGGATTTTCCTTAACACAAGTGATGGTCAGTCGGTGCTAAATTCAACCTAAAACAAACATGTTCTAAGTGTTAGAGCCCTCAGTACTATTGCATATACTTGTACATGGTGGAAAGCATCTTTATACTGTTAGAGGAAGCCTGAATAGGTACTGATAGGGGAAGTGGGCTCTTGGCAGGGTGAGGTAAGTGTATCTTCATGTAACGGCCTGGAGGAAGAGTAGTTGCTGTATGCTGTAAAGATTGGTGTCCCACACTTAATGTGTGAACTGAGGAAGGAGAGGGTACTGACCATAGAAATACTTTGAGATCAGGTCCGAGGTAGAATTCCCTTCCTCCTGTTCTGTGCTTTACTCATGTAGGAGACTCGGTCTTCAGGATTTCTTTAAGATGTTTAATCATAAAATATTGACAACAGGTTGTTTTTTTTAATTTGAGGAGCTTTGAATCATAATAAAAGCACATTCTCCCAGTTCACAAGCTTATTGTTTGTGAATGTAAATTACTTGTCTAATAGATATACTTTGTCTGGCTTTTTGTGTTGCTTGCACTGTAGCTTCAGAGATTCCCAACAAGGCATATACAGTAAGCACTCTTATACTTGGTCTTTGCAGACCTTGTAGGTCCTTTTTATAGTCATAAAGGACATCAGCTTTCACTTCAGTACATTATCACTTCTGTGCTTTGCAGCATTGTTTGCTGTAACTTAAGTTAAACATGTTTACTATGGCTTGAAACTAATTCATGGATACTGGACAATTTAATAGCTTTGATTATGGCTTAGCTGTCATAGACTATGCTGTGTGACAAAAACTTCCGTAGTTGCAGTTTTTGTTGGAATGCCGTCCTGCCTGCTACAGATCAGTAATACTCTGGAAATAAGTTCAATGTCTTCCTGTGTGCAGATTTTATTATTTGATCTCTTAAATGATTAAACTGTTAAATGCTGCTTCCCAAATAAAAACTTTGGGCTCTGTATAATCTTGACTGAGCGATCTGAAATTGACCTACAATAAAGTCAGTAAACTCTATTTTTCTACTGGTGGCATTGTACTCAAAGCTTGAATGTTTGCTCTCTTGGGTGTTCTTCCAAAAATAAATTGTTGAGCCATCTAATGGACATCTGAATTTCTTCTTTAGGATACTGCAGGTCAGGAGCGGTTTAGAACCCTAACGCCTAGTTACTATAGAGGTGCACAGGGTGTTATCCTAGGTAAGTTTGATATGTTAATATGCAGTTTTAATTTTTTTTATTTTTCTGGTCTTACAAAAGAGTTAATGACAAACTAGTTGCTAGTTATCACTGATTCTTTTTCTCTGTCTGTATGACCCTAATCACTGGTGGATATAATTTTTTTCCAAGGGAAGACAATCTCTCCTTCTACTGTTCTCTGTTCTGCCTCCTGGAATTGACCCTTGGTAGGGGAAAAGTCGGGGACAAGGGAGAAATCTGTGTTTAAGTGAAAGGAAACATCTGAACCAAAGAACCTACAGCCTATTGTAGTTCTTACTGTTGCATTATGTTGCCTTACTAGAAGAAAAAATGTGTAACCTGCTTTTAACAATAAATTTAGCCTATGTAAGCTAAACCTGTTGTAGATTTAAGTGTGGTGTCTGTTGCATTTTTCTATGTTATCTTGCATTCTGTATCTTTGCAGTTTGAAATAGTGGCTTTGTTTTTGCACGCACATGTTCCCAGTACCTATGGAATCACAAGTCTTGCAACATGCTCTTATACCTCCAGATAATGCATCTAACTTGTCATCTATTTCTCTCTCTCTTTTTTATATAAACTCGACTTTTAAATCTATATATGGGGCACCAGTGCTCTACCTTAAGTTTGTTTTTTTTTTTTTTTTTTTTTTTTTCAAGCAGGTGGCAGTTCATGTTTCATTTTATATTTGACATCTGCCAGGACTATAATGTAGAAATTCAGCCACTTTTTTTTTTGCCAAGCGAGCAGTGGTGGCTAAATGGTTGCAGAAAGCCACTTCATTCTGCCTGCATTCTGTGTGAGAACCCATTCTATAGTGAGGTGTTCTAGTTCATGCACACACAATAGTGCAAATAACTCATTACCTGGAGCTGGTTTTGCTTTTGACAGTTGTAGATTGGCAAGGAAAGGTGTCAAGGAAGGCTCTCAACCTCAGACCTCCTATTTATGTTTTAAATGCAAGTTAAAGGCAGCAAACATTTTATTTTATAGATATTTGATACTCAAGCTAGTAACAGTAGTAGAAGATGTGCTGTACTTCTTGGTAAGATGGCTTTTGAGTAGACTGCCTCAGCAAAAGTCTGTTATAGTTTTCAGTGATGATTATGGACACACTTTTGTCAGATGTAGAATTGTTTTAATTGTTACGTCTCACATTAATTAAATTTAGAATAGAATGTGTGGACTTTCAGGAAGTTCTGTAACTAATGTGGGGGTTGTTGCAACTCTTGAAATGAAAACCACGTTATTTAGAAAATGTATTGTATCAGACAACTGATGATTGCCATTCTCTTTTAGTTTATGATGTCACAAGAAGAGAGACCTTTTTAAAATTGGATAATTGGTTAAATGAATTGGAAACATACTGCACAAGGAATGACATAGTTAAAATGCTAGTTGGAAACAAGATTGATAAGGTAACTTCAGTCTGCTTACTTTTATTTCTGTTTACACAGGTACACTTGTCACAGCATGTAATGTTTTTTTCTTCTTATAGGAAAACCGGGAAGTTGACAGAAATGAAGGTCTCAAATTTGCAAGAAAACATTCCATGTTGTTCATAGGTATGTTCTTAAAGATGTACATAAAACTTATGTTATGTAGGTGCCAGTGTTACTGTGTGTAAACTATGTAAAAGTGCTGTCACAGTGATTCCTTCTGCATTGCTTAAGTGCTTTACAAAATTACCTTGAGCTTCAATACCCTTGAAAGGTTAGGGGGCTGGGGCACATGACTTAAAATGAGAGGTTGGAGGGAACTCGTCTTATTTAGTCTGCAGAAGAGGAGACTGAAGGGGGATTTGATATCAGCCTTTAACTATGTGAAGGGTGGTTACAAAGAGGATGGAGCTAGATTATTCTGAGTGGTGGCAGATAACAGAACAAGGAGAAATGGTCTCAAATTTCAGCAAGGGAAGTTTAGGTTGGCTATTGGGTAACACTTTCACTAGGAGGGTGGTGAACCACTGGAATGGGTTACCTAGAGAGGTGGTAGTATCTTCATCCTTGGAGGTTTTTAAGGCCTGGCTCAACAAAGCCCTGGCTATAATAATCTAGTTAGGGATGGTCCTGCTTTGAGCAGGGGATTGGACTAGATAACCTCCTGAGGTCCCTTCCATCCCTAATTTTCTATGATTATGAACAAGTGTTTCCATCTTGTTTAGACATGTCTAACTTGAATGGACACTTCATAGGTTCATTCCAGGTGAATAAAATGGATGTGCATAAAGATTAAGGGTGACATCCTGGCTCTGTTAAGTGGGGCCATAATTTTGCTACTTGACACGTTCCTTGCTTTATACTACACTTGTGTAGCCAAAACCAGAGATGGAATTTTTTTTTATAAGTGCTGAAGATGGCACAGAGCTGAGGGTGAGTTCTGTGCTGTGCTTGGAGGGGCTGGGGATTGTGCCCCCATGGTGGGGGTTGCCTGCACAGGCATGCATTGCAGGGCTGGAGGGGCACAGGGAATTGCACTATACCTACCTACTTAGTTATCTTATTGCTGTACTCTAAAACATAACTTTAATTTGACATGTTAAGAGTCTAACTAGAGTTGCAGCTTAGTATTAAGATATCAAAGCTCACTCATAACTGGGGGAGTAATATCAGCTCAACTGTCACAAACTAGGATTTACTCTTTTATTTTTTCACCTGTGACTTTCAATCTGCATTCTAAAACAAGTACAGAAACAAACACCTCTATCTCTTCTACTTAAAGTGAGGGCATACCTTCCAGTCTAAATTTTTATTTATTTGCTTCTTGCATTTTTTCTCTAGAGGCAAGTGCGAAAACATGTGATGGTGTACAGTGTGCCTTTGAAGAACTTGTTGAAAAAATCATTCAGACTCCTGGACTGTGGGAAAGTGAGAATCAAAACAGAGGGGTAAAATTATCGAACAAGGAAGAAGGCTACGGAGGAGCAGGCTGTGGTGGATACTGCTCTATGTTATAAACTCTGGGAAGCTTATCCTTATGCATATTTAAGCAGATAGTGACATCTTTCTGTAAATAAACTCATTAACTGCTATTTTTAGGGACCTTGCAGTTTGCACATACTTTGTTTTTGTATCATGGCAGTGAACATTTGTAGAAAAATGTGCTCAGCAGCTTTCCCAGTTGAAAAGTGTTATGGTAAGCATGCCCAATTTGCATTCTTCAGGTTTTTATATGTAGCATAAATAGTGCGCAAAAAGAGAAAATACACTCAAATTTTATGACCTTATATATTCATCATGTAACTATTCTAAACGAATCCATCTGACAAATACACATTGCTGCATTCTGTCTACTTTGTCTCCCTCCTCTCTCTCTTTTTTTTTTTTTTTTTTTTTTTTTTTTTAAGTCTTTTTATTCTAGAACTACGTTGTTTGAAAAGATTTTGACAATGATGCAAGCTATATATGTAATCTCTTCTGGGTAAAGCTTTTTCTCTATAGTAAAAAAAGTGCATAATCATGCCTTTTTTAAACAAAGTTTTGTTTAATGCCATGCATTTAGCAGACTTGTCTAAACCATGGCCTGTTCCAGTTTGCAGTTTTATCATCTGCACTTGTCTTGAAGAGAGGCGTTGAAAAGTTGAACAAACCCAAAAATTGCAGGGGAAAGGATCATTTTGGGTGTTGTATGGGGGGGTTTTTAGTGGGTGTTTGGTTTTTTGTTTTGTTTTATCATTGCTTCAGTTGACTGCTGTAACTGGAGTTTTAATCCTGATATTTATACTAAATTCATGGCACTCTGGCACTGTAGTTTTTATGATGCAATTGACTGTCCTGCAGTAGAAAGTTTTCATTTTTGGCTTAGGGTTTGAGTGATGTCTTCTCTCCATGTGAATTAACTTGCCACACTTCGGTACAGACGCTTCCCTTAATGTTTATAATGTACTTCAGTCTCAGTATCACAAAACTGTAGCTCCCTGTGATTATGAAGGTCTGTATCACATGATTGCTTTGTGTGGATATTGTTCAGAACTATAACTTCCTGTCACAAAAGCACTAAATATGGGGAAGTTGTACTGCTTCTGAATCTGTATGGAAAGTACTATTGCAATGAGTGTTTCACTTGGGTTTACTGTAACAGCCAATGGTTTGTTTCAGAGGACTTGTATAGACTAATAAATTCTTTTTCCACAGTGTTCAACTTTTTTTTCTAACCTCTTCCTATTGTATATTTTCTATATACAGTTTAGACAAGGTCACTTTTTATGAAGTGACTATTTCTGATGTTATGATGACAAAACTAGGATACTATGGTTTTTAAAGCTAATTGTTATACATACAAGTAACTGAACTACTGGACGGTTTCTTGTAAATACATAGTTAAAATACCTTTCTAATACTATGGCACTTTTGTACGTGTCACCACTACGTGATCTGTATTTTGCAACAACTTGAGCTGTTTTTGGTTAAATACACTTAATCACATATGGAAACCTTGTTTTCAACTTTTGTCCACACTTGCTAGGAAACATTACGAAAATTTAAATGTGCTAGCTGTTTTTACTAAGTACTGTATCTCTTACTGTTAATGTAGCAAGTTTAATATGTAAATGTAATTATTATTATTATTTAATACACACCTCCATGTTGCATTAAAGCTTTAGATTTGTATTACTGCCTTTGGTACAGCATACATTTGCTAAACCATTCTTATTCATTAGTGCTGGATTCCATGCTCTGAAGTAAGCACAGATTTTATGACCATGTGTGTATTTCAGTGCCTGTAATACAGTTTTTCTGACCATCTATAGTGGCTAATTTATCCCCTTGAAACCATGACAGGTGATGCTATATATGACTACTTGCAGTTCCATCCCTTGCCACTCCCTGAAGTTTTCTCAATAGCATTCAGGTTTTATGCCTCCTCCCACTTTAGAGACAGAGTTTGGCAGTCCCTTCCCCTATTCCACCCACCCTTATCGAAGATACTGTAGGTTAGGATTCGGGTACAGTGACTGCTCATCCCATCATTCTTTGCAGAAGATAAATGCCCTTAAAGTGGGGGATAGAAGGGAGGGTTTAAAATGTTCTTGCCCTCTAGTGACAACCTAAGTACCCTGTCTGGTTCATGCCACCAGGACCCACCACTTCTCCTTGATGTTCTTCTTTCTAAACTACCTTTTTAGGATCATGGGAAAATAGGGCTGGAAGGGACCTCAAAAGTCACCTAGTCCAGGGGTTCCCAACTTTTTTTTTTTTTTTTTTTTTTTTTTTTTTTTTTTTTTTTTTTTTATGCTAAGGACCAGAAGTGACTGCAGACTGGCAGTGAATGGCATACTGCAGGCAGGCAGGCAGCCAACCCTTTTTTATACTTGGGTCTGCAGTATGCCAGTTGCTTCTAGGCCACAGTTTGCCAGTCTGCTGCCACTTCTAGTCCATCAGAGAGCCCTTCGTGACCTGGTACTGGGCTATGGCTGAGGCATTGGGAACCCCTAACCTGGTCTAGCTCTCTGCTCAAGGTAGGATCATCCTCAACTAAACCATCCCAGCCATGTGTCTCTAACCTACTCTAGAAAACTTCCAAGGATTCCACAGCTTCTCTAGGTAGCTGGTTCTAATGCTTGACCATCCTCAGGCTCAAAGTTCCTTCTCTCCAACCTAAACTTCCTCTGCTGCAGCTTCAGGTAATTGTTCCTTGTTCTATTTCCTCTGGCTGCAGGGGGAAATTAATTTCTGGTCTCTGGATTTGTCATTCAGATATTTGCAGATGTATCAAATCCCCCAACCTTGCCCTACCCCCTGCCAAAAAAAAAAAACCCTCCAGGCTAAATTATACTAGCTCTTTCACCCTTTCCTCCTAAATCTTGTCTTCCCTCTCAGGCCCCTAATAATTCCTTCTTTTTTTTTTTTTTTTTGTCTCTGTGCTGGACTCTTTTTTTCTAAGCTGTCTGCATCATTCTTGAAATGTGGGACCCAAAACAGGACACAGTTCTCTGAGTGAGGCCTGAATAGAGTAGAGGAATCACTTCTATTCATTTGCAAGTGACACTCCTTTGCAACAAGATTACCTTGTTGGCTCTTATGGCCTGTTGTCTCAGAGTTTGCTTGTATAGACTAATGAATTTTTTTTCCACAGTGGTAAACTACTGTAACCCCACAGTCCTCTGCAGTACTATACTTTAGCCAGTCACTTCCAGTCTATATGTGTACAGGCAGTTATTCCATCTCAAGTCTAGGACTACACACTTGCCTTTGCCCTTGTTGATCTCCTCTGATCAATGGCCAGCCATTTCTGTAGTCTATCAAGGTTATTTCAGATCTTAGCCCTCTCTCTTGACTGTGTGCAACTCCCTTTCACTCTCTGTAGATGCAGACAGAAGTACAGCTCCCCAGTCTCACTCATGGCTCCTTATACCATTTGAACCCTCTCACAGTCCGGGTTAATTTTTTGTGTGATTGGAGCTCTCTGCAGCTGTACTCTTCTGTTTGGGTATGGCTGTAGAGTGCTTTAAAGGGGCTGATTGCACAGCAAATGTAACTCTTGTCAAAAAGGCCATCAAAGCTAGCCAGGTTTGGCTATATTAAACTTGTTACTTTTTCTGACACCCCTTTATAATAATCCAATGCACTTCAGCCCAGATGACTATAGTATCATCAGCTCAGAATAGCAGTCATATAGTTAGCTGTTGGGGAAAACCTATACTTCCCTACTCTGCTGCTGCACTGAGGTCTTGTATGTGTCCTCCTGTGTCTCAAAGGAGACTTGGATAACTTGTCCCCTGTGACTTGGATGAGCTAAGAACTATTTAGTATCTGGAAGTGTCTGTTGTTAGCTACCTCAAAGAACAGATGTTGGGTAGAACAAACAATGGGCTTTGTCTAATGGCACAGCTACAGTGCAGTAACTAGTAGCAGTATGGATGCAGCAATGCAGAGTTCAGTATACTTGCACTGAAGTTTGACTGACATTGGACCTCTTCCCAACCAGCCTGATACACGAGCTGCTTTTGTTCCCTCTACAATCACAAATTATAGTCTATCCATACTTCGCTTCATTCTTGAGAGTGGTGTTTTAGCATGACTTTAACATCAACCCTAAGCATCAATGTAGAAATAACCTCAGTAGCTTTCAAAACCCATCTGGAAAGCTGAGTAAATAGTGGGCAATTTGCTCATTCTGAGCCTCAGGTTACTGTGATGCTTGGTGTTCGTGAGTTGCTTAGTTGAAGGCTGTGTTACATCTACACTACGCAGCTACAGTAATGACCATAGGATAAATGTACCCAGGTCACCATGCCAACTGTATCCATAATCTGTTTTTTCTAAGGGGAAAAAAGACAGGAAACTTAGAATGAGACCCCTTACCATGCTAATAACAGGAACATTATATTGGGCTACACTTGCAAAGGGGTCTCAGTATAGATGCTGCTATACTGCCAGAGCTGCACCTTTGTACCAGTACTGTTAATGAACACATCCCTTTAAATAAAACAATGAATTTTTGTTGGCATAACTGCATTCATACTGTAGACTTCTGCCAGCACAGCCAGGTGGGTTAGGATTGGGACTCTTGCTGTGAGATTCCATAAGTGAAGGTCTTTGAAAAGCAGAACGAGTTACTCATTGCCACTCGAGTTTTTTGCAGGAGAGAAATGATTGGAATCGCCAAACTGTTGAGGTATCAACTGTTGCTTTGCCACATAAGCAGCTTATTAATACATTTTGTTTTCTTTCTTTACTAAGTAAAAAGCTGCAAAAAGGTCAAGCAATTCAGTGATGAAGATCTTGCCTGTGTTCTTTGCTGTAGAAATATTTTGGGTACAGATGAGCAAAGGTATTTACTAGGGCTGTCAAATGGTTAAAAAATATGATCGTGATTGTGTGATTAGAAAGATCAGTCTCAGCTAATTGTGACTTTAATCACACAGAAGCTCAAAATTATGTGCAGAAAACCTCACTTATGCAAAGTTATGCAGGTACTTAGTATGGTATGGATGTGGGGTATGTGTGTTGGGGGAGAGTTTGGAGGTGTGTGGGGTTTGGAGCCTGGGAAGTGGGGTTCTCATATACCCTGGCAGGATGTGGGGTACTGGTGATCAGGAGTGAGGGGCAGCAGCAGGGATGGGGGGGCCTGTGGCTTGGGAGTGAGGAACACACACTGTCTCTCTCTCCCTCTCCCCCCAGCAGGTAAGTGTGTGTGGGGGGGAGGAAAGGGATGGGGGGGGCAGATTGAGGGCCCAAGGGTGAGGAAGGGAGTAGGGTAGAGGCTGGGGTGAATGGGGTGTGGGGCTGGGGTGGGTTGTAGGATGGAGCTGCGGTTTGTCCAAGGGCATAGGGGGGCTTCCACTACTGTGCAGGGGGAGGCATGGGGGGCATGGCTTTGTGCATGGGGCAGAGGCAGGCTGGGGCTCTGTGCCTTGCTGCCTTTGCCCCGGGAGCCGTGTGCTGGCTGTGCTTTGTCCCCTGCCTATCCAGTGGTGGGAGGCACAGCACCGTGTTATGTGGCTCGCAGGGCAATGGCAGCAGGGTGCAGAGCCCTAGCCCACAGCTGCAGCCTGCCTCTGCCCTGCGTATGCCTCCCCTGGGGTGCATGTAGCAGTGGGTGTGCACCCTTGGACAAGTTGCCTGTGGCTCTGGCTGTCCCACAACAGGGGCCCCATTCACCCATCCTTTGCCCCACTTCCTCCACTCCGGAGGCCTCAATCTGTCCCTTCCCTCCACAGACTTACCTGCTGGGCAATGCTCCATGCACTGCCAGGCTGTGTTCCTGGCCGTCTGCAGGCTGTGGCTGCGTGTCTGTGCACCTTTCCCCTCCTTGCTGCAGCCACCTGGAGCTCATGCCCATGCCACCGCGTGGTTCTCTGTGCTGCCACCACTGCCCCGCAGGGTGGTCTGGAGGCAGCAGTGATGGTGGTGGAGCAGAGCCCGGGCTCAGGCTCTACAACCATATGTGCGATTAATGTGTTAATTTTTTTTTAAACGTGAACAACAATTAACATGTTAATCGTGATTAATTGACAGCCCTAGCATTTACACACCTAATCCCTACTGCATTCATTGAGAGATGGTGCCTAAATGTCTTCATGAATCTGGGTCTTAATTTTCTGAACCTTGGCTATGAGTTTTTCAGGGTATTGGCTGATGTGGGATACTGTTGGAGCTCAATGGTTTCTATATGCTCAAGGAATATACATTTGGCTACCAGATGGCAGTTGGACAGGTCTTGCAAATCAAGTGATTTGTTTGCTGAAGACTGGTGAAAATTGTGCTCTTCAAGTGGTTTGATAGGTATATAATTTCCATTAGGAGTCAGCATGATAGTTCTTCACACTTTCACCTGTCAAATCTGGCTTCACCAGTTTGTGGCCCCAAATATATTTTAGGGCTTCTTTAGTTTTGCTGCATGTGACAAGATCAAGTCAATGAAGGGTGGTAGAATGGGGTGGTAGAATGGATGCTGCTATTGGATAATAGGGAGGAGGTTAACTTCCCATTTAAGATAATCAAATAGTTATGCAACCACTTGAAAAGCAGTCAGGCAGTTCATGGTGGTTGATACTTATGTCACATTACTGAGAATAACCCAGTAACTACATATCCCAGAAGTTTTGCTGTCTGCAATCCTGCTGTTTTGGTAGTGGAGAAGTAGAAA